AAATTGACTATCATCAGCTAGAAGAGTTTAACTAATTATAAAGAGAAAGTAATAAAGTTTTTTTAAAATAAATAAATTAGATATAGTAGCGATACTTATAACTCAATATATTCAGGAAAAATATTTTTATTAAATTTTAATTAGAATAGACTTTTTTCTTATAAATAATATCGATATATAATTTATTTAAAAAGGTATTATAATTATAAGATATTATTTAGATAATTATTAGATAACTATACAATTATATAGAAATTATAGATAATATAACATTTTGCTTTAAAAGAATTACAAGAATAGAATATAATTTATTCTTAAAATCTATAATTATAAAATTGGGAGTAAAGTATTTATTGAATGTATTTATATATTAACTATGTATATATAATTGTATATGTGCGTATATGTATACATGAGTAATCGCAACTGTGATTGGGTGCCGATCCGTAACAAAATCTAAATCATTTTCTAATAGCTTTAATCTTTTAATATAAAGAATAAGCAATTAGACAAGGATTTAAAAAGTTGAAAAAACGAGGGTTTTAGCGGGGAAAATGATTTGTGTACGGTGAGCAGGGGCCAGAACTCTTACTTTACTATCGCGCTGTCTCATTAGTCTATGCACCGACTGGTGGGTGGGCAACCCATACCGACCACGTGATGATATCACGAAGGATGAAATGGGCTTACTCTAGGTGGATTCTCTCTTAATGAACAATCCAATCGATGTGATCACTCACAAACCATTCGTTTAATAAGTTTTAATAAGCGTGATCAGTTTCTCGATAGACGTCTCCCGGATCAACTGTAGATGCTTTACGATAGCTCGTAACAAGTAATTCCTCAACTGACTTGAGATGCACTATTCTACATGTTCATTTGCTGACTGGGATTTGACACCCATGTCGATAAGTCTTCGGTCCATTCCCTACACGGACTCGTCGCCAAAATCTTCAAAAGGTCTCCAATCAACCAAGATTGGCATAGATCTACCGCAGATTTGAGCCCCAGTTTTACCAAACGAAGCAACGAATAACAGGAGCTGACACTGAAAGGGTCGTGGGGTTTTCCCATTCAACCGAGTTTGGCCCAAAAGACTTCTTCATCTGGTTTCGCACCCCTCCAAGGCCTAGTAATGAAAATCCATGAGTAGCTTTTGCGCAGGAATTCCACTCCTTCTGCCTCAATTGAAGGTCATCAAATGCTCGACCCATTGCTCTACTCCAAATAGTTATTGCCTCGGCACGAGGCTTGCGGATCTGCTCGAAAATATCAAACCAGTTCGTAATGTCCAGGCAGCGAGCAAAACGCCCAAAACACAAGCGTCTGACTGCTTGGGAGCCACCTTGGCCTTTGATAATAAAGTCAGCATAAGATTCTGTCCGGTCCCCGTGTTTGATCCCTCTTATTAGTGAATAGACATACCTTGATGGGGCAACATACCATGTGCTGCATCCCCAATAAGTATTATCCTTCCATTCCTCCAGCTCATTATCGGTTCTCGTTCATACAGCCCAAAAATCTTCGTGCTTTCGCCCAACCGAAACATGGTTTTAGAGATCTATAAAACTCCTCAACAGTGGACATAAATTTCCCCATATCGCTCTCATCATCCCTCGTCTTCCACGACTCTTCCCATTCCTTACCCCCAACAGCCGGGATGATAGCCCCGACACATATCGTCTTCCCACGCTGGATGGGGCACGTCACGATGTGCGTTTTCCCTGGTGCGACCCATATGTTACGTGTTTGCAATAATTTTGGACTTCTTGCGGGAGAGCTGCCATTTTGATGAGGCCTTGCATGACGATCTGGCCTGAGAAGATGGTTTTCTCCTGATTCCAAGTTTGGCGCACCTCTGAGCGGATTCCGTCTGCGCCAACATGGGCAGATGCAGTCACCGAGGTACCATCTTCGAAGAAAGCCGTGACAGAGTGAGGGTCCTGAGAAATACTTTTGAGGGATTTACATAGATGGATATAGTCACTGGGGAGGCAGCTGGCGATCGTTTAAACGAAGTCGGCGAGGTGGTGGTAGAAATAAACTTTGATTACTGTTTAGTAATAAATTATAAACTTTAAACTTTAAACTTCAATTACTGTCTAGTTACAAATTTTAAACTTTAATTTTTATCCGACTGTAAATTATAAACTTTAATTGTCGTCCGGAGAAGGAACATAGGACTTAAATGAGGTACTTGTCTATAGATTAGTAAACAAATGAGTATAAAAGAGATTATCCCCCCTATTACCCCTTTTAGATTATTACAACTCATTACCTACCCGCTGCAGCCTGGCACCCATGTAACGTAACTTACACTTCCTGCATCCCTATCGTATACTGGGGCGAATTAATTTAGAGTGGGGCCTCGACAAAGACAGCAGTGCCGGCTGCAGAACTGCCGGACTCCACGCCAGCAGCGGGTGAAATGCGGACGGGGTAACATTACAGGGTCATCAAACTTTCTGGAGGTCCAAGACCAAGGGTGTTAAATCTTAAGCTTAAAATCACCTCTTCAAAGGACTCAAATGAGATTATACTTACGAGTAGCCTGAGGTTAATAGCTTTACAATAAGTAGATAACGTACTTGACAAGCGAGCTGCGCATGCAAGCAAGCTTGGGTCTCTTAACTAAAGTATATATATATATTTGTTATTACGAATCTATTTATACTCTCTTAGAGTCATTACTACTATTATTTATCTTTTATTTGTATCATTATTTTGTGATTCCTCTTGCTGCCCTTTGGCTACCCTATAGCTACTATAGTCTTATACTACTCAAAGGGGTTTTAGTATATAAAGATTAATCTCTCCTAATTCTGCTCAGCTTATCAAGAAAAATAGAAGGGAAACTAGAGAGGTTAATAAGGTTCTATAAAAAAAAGGGTTTTACCGCTGTCGAGGGGATGATTTTTAGATGTTGAGACCTCTTTTTTGTATATACTAATAAGGCGCAGCAATTTTACACTTTTTTCGATGGCCGAAAATTAAATAACCTAATAGTGGGCTCGAATATTTGTGACTTGAAGGCTTTTCTACGTTACAAAGTAACACCTATACAATTTCATTTCTCAAAGAATAGCTATTGAGACTATACGAATTTAGACTGAGTGTATAGCGCTGAAGTTTGTAAAAGTCTATCTACAATCCTTTGTATAATGATAACAGCCCTTCATTTAATTGTTCAAACTCCAACTGAACTATATGAAGGAATAAATGAAGACGGAAAGCTCCCTCTTTGTAGGGGTCATATTGTTCTTGTCGAGCTTTGATTAGCAGTTATAAGAACAAGAAGATACTAGAAGCCATACCAAATAGACGGACGTTGCTCGCTTGAAAGTGTTTGCCGCCTCGCCCTTTACTTTCTCCCTCTTCACAGTTTCCACACGTTCGGGGTTGATAGCGGTGCTCGCCTTCGGCGATGGCAGTGCGGACGAATCTTGGGGGGAACAAATCTCGGACATGCTAGGTATGTGGTAAGATTATCGTAGTATGATTTTTCTTGGAATCATAATGATCAGAGCCTGGCGAAGAAGTGGTGTCCCTTATATACAGAGGTACAGCTCATAAGTTTTTGTATGGCGCTAGTTGGGAGGGTTCGCGTACGTGCGTTTGTTTACATCGCTTAATTAGTCTAAATAATAAGAAGAACTACCCAGCCACGATATCTGATACTCGACAGAGGGGGTCCATTACTAATGCTATACGAAGACCTACAGGCTATGGATGCCTTTGTACTAGTACGGCCAGAAAGTATGTCACACTCCACTCACAGGCACGTCCCATAAGGTGGTAAAATACAAGATAATTGATGGCCTGTATTAATGTGGAGTGTTGTATACTTTCTGACAGCACGAGTACCTCCGTTCTTTGTAAACTCTATTTAAGCGATTGAATTAACAATGCTTTATACCCGCTTCCAGTCGTTCTGCTAACAAAGTTTCGTTGAGGTACGTACCTCTTACACCGCCCCCACCCTTGCACCCTCGCTATTGTCGTCGCCTTTGCTTTTTATCGGATAACGGCGGCTCTGTGTTACAAAGAAGCCGGGTCTGCGAGCCTGTATCAGAAAATAAGAATGACATCGAAAAACAATTGATTTTCAAAAAGAGGCACTCCTTTTCGGTTAGCTTGAATCAGCTTAAGTACTACCCCCTTCCCCTAATAATTAAAAGCCAAGGGTGCTGTATGAATTAGGTGAACTGAAAGCTTTCACGCTCTTTATATTAGATAAAACTTGTTTATAAATAGGACGGTGCTCCAGGGCTCATAGCGACTCCGCAGTATCAGCTAGCTCTCTTCCAAATCCATTTAATTGCTTTCTCTTATCTCGTACGCCGGCAAAAATGCAAGCACGTATAGGGCTCTGGGTGTCTCAGGGCGGTCGTCTCGACATCCGCCAGCAACCTCCCATCAGTACGTCGATGCTTCAGCCGGACGAATACCTGATCCGCGTCCTTTACAGCGGGCTAAATCCTGCTGACCAAAAGCATGCAATTTACCTTGGCATCTGCGACCTCGTTGCTGGGTACGACTTCGCGGGCACTGTTGTGGCCCGGGGCTCTGACAGGCTGAGTCTTCTGCCGGGGGCTTTGGTCTGTGGTATGGCGCAGCCGAAACTCATTGCCAACCAATATTCAGGGCTCCACGGCGCCCACCAGCAGTTCCTCGTTGCCACGACGAAAGGCGTGTTTCCGCTCCCCACCCAGACTTCAGACGCAGAACTCCAAGTATTGGCAACCGTGCCTGTAGTTGTCGCCACGGCCGCGGACTGTTTGTTCGGGCTGCTGGGGCTGGATGCTACGCTCAGCGCGAAGAACAAGGTGCCTCTGCTTGTCTGGGGGGGCGGCTCTGCAGTCGGCCACGCTGTCATCCAGTTTGCGCGTGAGGCGGGAGTAGCGCCCATCCTTGTGCTGGCATCGCCACGTCATCACGAGGTGCTGAGGCGTCGCGGGGCGACCCGCTGCTTCGATTACCGGAATATCGACACCATCCGCCACCAGATCGCAGTGGCCATGCGCGAGCTCTCCCCCGATAGCGATGGTGATGGCTGTCTTCGCCTCGCCATCGACGCCACGGGCATGAACCGTGTCGAGATCCAGTCCATCCTCGCCGATGCGAGCGCGGAAGCGCATGGGTCTACGGGCCATGGCACGGCGCGAATTGTATCCACCGTGGGCGGTCCCGAGGATATTCTCAAACCCTTTGCGGCAGTGATCTTTGGAGAAGATGTGCATCTGGGCGGCGGCCGGGTGGTTCGCGCACGGGTGGCGGATGGGGCTCTCGTCGCGGACAAGGTTCGATGGGCCATCCGGCACTTGGGAAACCAGTTTCATCAAGTGCCGGTCGAGGTCCTCGATGGCGGATGGCCCACCCTGATCCCTGGCGTGACACGAGTCAGCGCTGGTGATATTTCCTTTCGTAAGCTAGTTTTCAAAATGCCGCAGGAGGGGGTCGAAGGAACAGGCGCGGTTGCAGGCACAGAAAAGCTGGTGTGACGGGAGGGACGAATGCTAAAGGCACATGCAGACATGTAATCTAAGCAGAAATATTAAAGCAGCGATATTTAAAATAAAATATGAACATGTCATAAATTCACAATTAGTCGCTATTACCGCTTCTAATCAAACTGGAATGCCTTCTGTCGGAAGGATATTTCAAAACCGTGCGAACATCACTGGAAGAAAACACCCCCTGACCCTAGTATTGAAAGACGATGAGCCTATTAGCTGGTCTCCCTCATATCACGACCTATAGTAGTAATAGGATCTCGAAAAGAATTTTGACTTTGTCGCTAGCTATTGTCTGTTCCTACAGTTAACTAATCAGCGCTATAACTGTAAGGATTCTATAGAGGGGCAAGATATTGGCTTTCTCGACCCTAGGAGAGCTTATCCTTTTGATTTAGATTCATGCCGGAGATCAAATTAACTTCACGGATCCCGATGTAGAACCCAAGTATAGACCATAATTCAGCCGGGAAGGTGCTTAATGAAGCATAAATTCTGACACTTTCCTGTCTACAACAGTCCAACAACTTCGTTCGATTCAGCTTCTGCCTCATTTAAATCATACCTTATCTATGTCTTTCCATATCTTGGAACTCTTAGAGGCTGCGGCCTTGAATGCCCCTGATAAAGGATTGTACTTCTACAAAGCCGGATCGGTATCACCGCCTCAATTTTTGTCGTACCAAGGGTTATTGGCAAAGGCAAAGGTATGTCTGACCTTTAAACTGCTGATAACAACGTACTTTAATACCTTCATGTCTTGACAATTCATACAGTTCAATGCCGAAATCCTGAAAAAGAAAAACATTGCTGTAAATGGCTCGATCGTCCTTCTTCATCTGGACTCTCATGTGGATTATATTGAGTGGTTCTGGTCTGTCATTGCCGCCGGCGTCGTTCCTGCAGTGTCTACACCTCTCGCATCGGACTTGGTTGCTCGAGAACGCCACCTGCTCCATCTAGAGAATGTTCTTGAAAGTCCAAAGGTCCTTACAGTCGAGAGGATTCGCGGAGAACTCAGCTCTGTTCCCACGCTCGATGTGACTTCTATCGAAGCACTTTCGTTTTATGCAAAATCAACTGACGAAGTGAGAGTTAACGGAAAGGCGGACACGAATGGTTACCATACGCACCCGGACACGCCAGCTCTACTAATGTTAACATCAGGGAGCACGGGAAATGCTAAAGCGGTAGAACTTAGGCATGAACAAATCCTAGCTTCCGTGAAGGGGAAATCAGGTGCATTGAGTACCACAGGTCAAGATGTTTTCCTCAATTGGATAGGTAGACACACTTCTCTGAAATTAAAATTATATCTTGTACTGAGTGAATTATAGGGTTTGATCACGTCGCATGTTTGTCGGAAATTCATTTGCACGCCATACTTTGCGGTGCAGATCAGATACACGTCCCCGCCGTTGAACTCTTGCGCGATCCTCCTATGTTCTTTAGAGTCATAGAGAAGCATGCTGTGAGTCGCACATTCGCTCCCAACTTCTTCCTTGCCACAGTCGTCAGGGCTATTAGGAGCCAGAACCCGCATGAGCAGTACAACCTCTCATCTCTTCGCACTGTCGTAAGTGGTGGTGAGGCCAACGTCGTTTCCACTGGCTTGGATTTTACCCAGATCATAGTGTCCATGGGTGCGGCAGCTACATCGCTGCAGACGGCATTTGGTATGACAGAGACCTCTGCCGCTAGTCACTACCACCAGAACTTCCCGAGCCTGGAAAAAAATGCGGATTTACAATTCTGCTCTGTCGGTCGTACTATAAACTCCGTTCGACAGCGTATCACCGATGATGAGGGAAACGTTATGTCCCCAGGGGAAGACGGCAACCTAGAGCTTTCTGGGCCTGCAGTGTTCAAGGCTTATCACAATAATCCTGAGGCTACAGAATCGTCTTTCTCGCCAGATGGCTGGTTTAAGACGGGCGACAAAGGCTACATTGATAATTCTGGAAATCTGATTCTGAGTGGTCGAGCCAAGGACTCAATCATCATTAACGGGGTGAAATACTTCTCACACGAGCTCGAGTCGGCCCTTGAGGGAGCCAAAATCCCGGGCGTAACTCCATCTTTTACGGCCTCTTTCTCTACCTGGCCCAAGGGCGCTGATAGTGAGGAGCTGGTCATTATCTTCCTCCCCGAAGCGGGGATTGAAGATGACGACGCAGCTTTTGCTGCCACAATTGACGCCATTGGCAAGCAATCAGCCCTCTACTGCTCAAAGAATCCTATAGACATCATCCCACTGCCTCTCGAACTTCTTCCTAAATCCGCCCTCGGCAAGTTGTCCCGCCCTAAATCAAAGATCGCCTACGAAGCCGGCAGGTATGACGAGTATCGCTTCGCAGCTAAGGCGCGCGTATCGGCCTACAAAAAGCGTTCCCGGGTCGCACCAACAACGGCAACAGAGAAGGCACTCGTTGAAGTGTTTGCAACGGAGTTTGGACTAGACAAAGATGAGGTGGGCGTAGAGAATAGCTTGACAGACATGGGTGTGGATAGTATTCAGTTGATTCGATTCAAGGCAAAGGTGCAGGATCACCTCAAGCTCGATCAAGAAATCCCCATGATTTCCCTCCTACAAAACCCAAGCATCAAAGGTCTGGCAGAAGTCCTGTTGCAATTGGAAAAGGGGGTTAAAGCATATGACCCAATTGTGCAGCTTCAGAATGGGACATCCAACTCGCCCCCAATTTTCTCCTTTCATCCTGGTTTGGGAGAGATCTTGGTATTCTTGAACTTGAGCAAGTTCTTCTCTGATCGTCAGGTATATGCCATCAGAGCACCGGGATTCAACCCTGGTGAAGAAATGCATAAATCAATTGATGACATGACCGAGTAGGCTATTCAGATCCCCCTATTTATAGTCATAGCTAACCGCAATCGTATATAGCACCTACCTCACTGCCATCCGCAAGAAGCAACCGGAAGGTCCTTATGTGCTCGTAGGATATTCATTCGGCGCCATGATCGCATTCGAGATTGCCAAGAAGATTGAGGCCAGCGGCGGCGAAGTCGGCTTTATCGGAACGTTGAATCTCCCACCCCACATCAAATTCCGAATAATCGAGCTTGACTGGACCGAGCTCTTACTCAACCTGGTCTATTTCCTTGGCTTCATCACTGAAGACGAAGCTCACGCCATGTCTCCCGAAATGCACAAATTGCCGCAGGAAGAGGTATTGTCGAGAATCATGAAGGTGGCGCCCAAGGACCGTCTGGTTGAACTCGACCTGAACGAGAAGAAGCTGCAGCATTGGGCAGCACTCTCCTCGAAGTTGCAAGGCCTGGCTCACAATTACGATCCCTCGGGGATGGTCGAACGTATGGATGTCTTCTACGCGGTACCTTTGATAGCCGTGGGCCGCGATAAGGGCAAATGGCTTGAAGACCATCTCCTCGCCTGGAACGAATTCGTACGGACCGATGTCCAGTTCCACGATGTCCCAGGGTCCCACTACACCATGATGAACCAGGAGAATGTTTTTGAGCTGCAGAAATCAATGAAAGCCGCTATGGCTAAGCGGAATGTGCTATGAAATACTTCTTGTATTCATATTAAGATCACGCCTTGATCACGTTTCACTTACCTGGCAGAACACATTATATGTGACTCTGGAGGTTGTACGCGCATGATGAGGGCCGGCTGTTTGGTCCGGCACCCTCCTGGGATTCAATGGTTTAAGTCACGTGATGTATCATTTTGGATCTAGGATCCTTTTAGGCTCTGAGAGCAGAAAGATTCCTTCTTGTGTAAGATGTATCTCTAACACCATTTATCAATCATCAATTACAAAACATACATATTCCTAGTAGCCTCTTATTGTTTCCCCGGTATGCTAAAAGAACCTTTCCTTTGTAGAAATAAACCCACATAGCTCTAAATGACTATATATCCATGCTGGCGCCAACAAAGTATCTTACCAAGAATTGGATATTGAGCTGGTCATCCTTCCAGGCTCAATGTAAGTTCCATTCTTGTAATATAACCATGGCCTCCGATAGAGCTTATTCCGACGCCATACAACCTTCCTCTTGTAGATAGCCATGATAAGGATCGATTGTTCTCCTCACAAATTAGGGGCAGACTGTGAACGAAAATAGATCCCACAGAAAGAGTCGGGCTCCATAGTTAGGGCCATCGAGGCGTCTTTAGTGAATGCGACTTTATTCCTCATATCCCGTTCGATAAAGACTACAAGTGAGTTGATTGCTTGTCATCATAATAGTTAAAGATATTGAAATCAAAAGACGAAATCAAGATTTGTAGTTTGAGAAAAGTAATACTATCGAATTGGGGCTCAGCTCATATTTTCCTCAGAAGCCATCAAAAGCATGTCCAGCAATTGACAAGAAGAGAGCTCAGCAATGAGTCTGATATACTACAAGCCTTTACAGGTCAAAAGCCGTGGCCCCAAGATGTGAATGCTTCCGTAATATTGAAAGCAATGGTCGGTAAACAAGAATATCTCGCTACAACCCTTTAATAGGACGGTGGATAAAGCGCGAAACCCCCTTTTCTCACATATTTTCAAGGAATTACGTTAGGATTTAAGGATCACTTACCTAGGTAGATGAATGAATCAAATATCCACCAATGTTCAGAGCCATGGTCTTGAATGAATGACGCTCCGCTGGCCCTCTTATTTCACTTTGAATATCCTCCAAGATATTATGGTGGTACGTGGACATGTGCCTAATGATGTACACACAATCAGATTGAGAAAAGTACTTATTTAATATGATTACATATTTCGTCAAAGTGTTGGCGAACCTGCCCGGGCGACCATCGGCCCAGGGAGATATCCTCAGCGCTTCCATGAGTTGTGAGTCGTCGCTGATGAATTTCATGAGAGCTGATTTGCCGGATCCGGCTTTCCCATTGACCCAGTATATGCTGTTGTTATTTTACAACCATTCCATGAAGTTTGTAAACCTCTTCAAGGAGGCTTTCATCAAGGCTCACTAAGAGAACGAAGTTTTCTTCAAGGCCTAAACCATAGATTGGTCCTCGTATTTACTTCAACTTTCCAAAACGACTCCTCAATCGACACAGCAAAATCCTGCAAAGACGGCCACCACTATGGACTTCCACTTGATCAGTTTCACGAATCTCTTGTCTGGTGTACCACGGACAAAAGTTACCCAGCCAGGACTACGCCAGGCAAATATGATATTCTCCTACTAAGGCCGATTTGAATTATTTAGCCAAAACCCTAGAAATAGATTTTCGCTTAAACTAAAAATGTATTTGAAATTTAGTAATATATTTTTATACAAAAAAAAGTATTCAATTCAGTATACAATTTTAAAGGAATTAATAAAATGAAAAGAAAAGAAGTATAACTATTAATTAAAATTCAAAAAATCGATTAATATATTTTTTTCTGAATTATTTCAAAATTTAAGATTTATAATTAATATAATGATATTTGAAGAATAAAAGATTTAATATTGAAAGTTGATTATTATTCAAATCTATTAGATTATTTTTAAATTAGATTTAAATTTCAAATTTTGAAATAATTTAAAAAGAAATATATCAATCAATTTCTTGAATTCTAGTTAATAGTTATACTTCTTTTCTTTTTATTTCATCAACTCCTTTAAGATTGTATACTAAATCAAAGAAATTCTATATTATTAGAAAAATTAGTTGAAACTTGATTAGTCATAATATCTAATATTTAAAATATCAATATAAAATAGATATAATTGAAATAATTAAAATTATAATATATTAGATATAAAATTCAATTTTTGAGATAATTCAGAAAAAAACATATCAATCGATTCCTTGAATTCTAATTAATAGTTATACTTTTTTTGTTTTCATTTTATTAATTTCTTTAAGATTATATATTAAATTGAATACCTGTTTTTGTATAAAAGCATATTACTAAATTCTAAACATATTTTTAGCTTAAGCGAAAATCTATTTTTGGGGTTTTGATCAAATGATTCAAATCGGCCTCAGTAGGGTATCAACCACCGGTCCTTTCGATTTCTTAGAAAGCAAAATGAAAACTGGATTGCTGGTAATATGGGCAATTCCATCCGGCAATGATGACGAAAACCCCCTGAAAATCATCCCAAATCGGTTGGGGAGACATCGAACAGTTGGATATCAAGCCGAGATTATGACGATACAGGCGTAGAGACGGGGCTGTTTTCCCGAAAAGATTTCCAATAGAGCTGGACGAGAATTATCTGGGTTAGAATGAGTATTGCGAAACAATTGCAGGCAGATTAATATCGGTTGAAGTGAAGAAGAGAGAATTATTAGAAATGAATATAATAATAAAATTTTCTTTTTTCTTTTATTATATACTCTTTTTTCAATCTTTTCTTTTCTCTTAAAATATTAAATTCTTTTAGTAAATAAAAGTTATAATAACTTATTTCCTTTTTATATTTATAAAGGAAATCCTCTTATTAATATTAATAAAGATTATTAAATTTATAATCGATTTTCAACTCAATAAATAAAAGTATATAATATAAAAGAGTAGAAGATAGTAGGATATATAATAGTTCTTTATATATACTATAAAAGAGTTACTGTATATATAGTGACTTTGATAGAGGATAGAGGAGAGGGATGAAAGGCTTTGAATAGCACTTTACAATATATAGAGGAATGTTAGATTGATAGGAACTAACTACTTTTTCATATAAGATGTAGGGATATCGGTTATTGCAGTCTACTGGTGGTCATTTGAATTGATTAGAAGTCTGATTACATATTATAAATCACATGATAGGTATCGGCTTGGGGGGGCGTGTATAGCGCGCCCTCTCCCCCCCGAGCCGACCCCGAGTTTTAGATACTGTGTCCATTTCATACATCATATGCCTACGCTTGTAGACGTTAGAAGAAACCCCGTCCGCGGAGATGCTTCAACTCGGATCACCAAGATACCGAGCCGAAACCCAAGAATTATCATCATGGCCCTAGCTCAAGACACAACACGGTGTGAAGCTTAAATTTTGGACCATCTTTCTCATTAATGTCCGCTAAAACCGAGAAGGTTGTGTTCTGAGGAATGCTGCATTCATCCAATTGAAATACGAATCAGATGGACCCTTTGCTCGATATTGGAGGTTTGAAGGCTCGAAGACGGACAAAGCAGAAGTGCGAAAGTACCGGTTTGTCGTGGACGGGATGGTGTGGGGTGGAGGTGGCCATGTAGAGTAGTATTCACAAGTGGCAGAACAACAATCATGTCGCTAGAAGGGTCTATGTGAGGTGATTTGCAAGGTCAATTATGGTGGAAGAAGAATTTACGCTTGGCAGGTAGGTAACGGGATAGAAGGTTAGGGAGAGGACGAGTTGGAGACGACGTGGGTATATATATATATGTGTTTGGATCCCCGAAAAGAGTTGGAGCATTCGATCATTTACTTTCTCCTTATTTTCTTCGGGATCTATATTAATCGGGAAGCTTTTGATGGGCTTCATTCATAAATACCTTTGTATTTCGTTCCACTGTAAGTCTCAGCTATTTGAACATGCTCAAACCGTTGTCCGGGGCCTGAGGAGATATACATCTAGAGAAAACCATACTAATTGTTAGATACAGCTATCGTTCGATAAAGTTCAGCTCAAAGTTGGGCTGCAAAATTTCCTTTATCAAGATTTCGCCAGCGCTCGTCAACAAAAGCAAAGACGTGATGCCTTCAACATTCGTTGTAGGTGCTTCGGCAGTTCTTATACTTGTATATGCTATCCGAGCTATACTTTTCCGACCCAAAAAGTTAGGCTTTCCAATCGTGGGTAATCCCAGTGATGCCGATTTTAGAGCTGCGTTGCTTGAAGGGACTGCCAAAGTAAGAGCCTTTTCATTCAACTATATCCTCCCTCATTCACCCTAACATCCAAACTTACACCAAACAGTATCCTACAACCCCCTACATCCTCCCCAGCAACCCCCCAACAGTTATTCTACCCTTGAGTATGCATGATGAATTACGCAGTCTCCCCGAAAAAAAAGTTTCTTTCCAGAGAGAAATATACCGCATGTTCCTTGGCAGGCACAGCAGTATTGGCGAAGACACTGTCCCAATCACCAAAGCCGTCAAGACAGATTTGAATCGTCACGTAGCATCTAGTCTTGAATCTCTCCAAGAAGAATCACGCTTTGCATTAGATAAAGAATTAGGCACGTGTAAAAATTGGACTCAAGTTGCTGTGCACGGAAAAAATCTCAAGATAGTTGCACTTCTCAGCGGAAGTGTCTTTGTGGGAAGACCCCTGAGCCGAACTCAAGAGTGGATTAATATTAGTACTCAATTTACGGAGGATGTAGTACTAGCAAGAATGAGCTCGGAGAAATATCCAGCGTGGCTTAGATCTTTCGTGCTCCACTTCTTACCAGAGATCAGGAAGGTAAAGCAACATAAAATCGTGGGGACAGAGTTATTGAGACCGATTATCGAGGAACGTATTCAAAGATCCAGGGAGGGAGAAGGAGGGAACAAAGTGACAAATCCAACGACGATCAGGGCACAGCTGTTAGTTGGCTTATGAAATGGTCGAGTGGAAAGAAAAAGGAGGATCCGTTTACTTTGGCGCAACATCAACTCGGCTTGTCTTTTGCTGCTATTCATACAACAGGCACAGCTCTCACACACATGTTATTCGATTTAGCAGCCCATCCACAATTCATCGCGCCCCTTCGCGAGGAAATCGATCAAGTTCTGGCAGAAGATGGAGCGGAAGATGATGGCAGCGGGATCAAATATTTGAAGAATCAATCATTACCTAAATTGAAGAAACTGGATAGTCTCCTTAAGGAAAGCCAGAGGCTCAATCCTATTGAATTGGGTGAGTTTTTTCTCCCCCATCCCCAGACTTTCTTCCCAATGTCTATCAAGACCTGGTGGATTTTCTTATAGCTATTTCCTACCCTTCTGACATACTAACGAAACCCAGTCTTCAACATTCGTGCAACAACCTCGCCTGTTCGCCTCCCTACTGGTGAAACCCTCCCTACTGGAACACGTATGGCATTCGATGCCCACACAATCAACACGTCCGTTCCGAATGTTTCTTCTCTTCCTCATGATCCTTCCAGTATCCCGGCACTTGATCCTCCCGAAGTCTTTTCGCCATTCAGATGGTCGACGCTACGTGAAATACCGGGGAATGAATCGAAATATCAGTATGTGACGACGGGTAAAGACAGCGTTAATTTTGGACATGGGGTATGTTTTGTTATTTTACAATCGCAATTTTCAAAACTTTGTTAACACAAAATCCTTATCCCATAATAAATTCATCCCTTAATCTCTCCTATTTTCAAATCCCACCCGTTCCCCTCTTCTTCCTCTCTTCTCCCTTCCTTCTTCCCTTCCTTTTTTACTTCCTTCTTTCCTTCCTTCTTTCCTTCCTTCTTTCCTTCCTTCTTTCCTTCCTTCTTTCCTTCCTTCTTTCCTTCCTTCTTTCCTTCCTTCTTTCCTTCCTTCTTTCCTTCCTTCTTTCCTTCCTTCTTTCCTTCCTTCTTCCCTTCCTTAACTCTTCCCCGCTTGTCCAAACGAAAAGAAAAAGAAGACGCACTAATACCCAGCCCACAGAATCACTCATGCCCCGGTCGTTCCTTCGCAACCATAGATCTTAAATTCTTAATGGTGGAAATATTGAAAAATTGGGACTTCAGATTAGTGGGTGATGAAGAGGGAAAAGGGGGAGAGAGGCCTAGGAATCAAATTCATACTATGACGATTAGTCCAGACATGACTGCTAAGCTTGAGTTTAAGAGAAGGGTTGTTTAACTTAAGTCAGAGGGGAGGTGAGGGATGGAGATGTGGTAGATGAGGATATGGGGGATGGGGGATCGAGAGAATGGAAGAGGAGGGCGAGAACATATGAAGAAGAAGATGACCGTTTGAGCAATGGGAAGATTTGGATAGATTGTAAAGCGGAAAGAAAGAAGGAATTATGGAGTGGGGTGGAGCCTGGTAGGGTTGCGCGGGAGTTTATTTAAATATTTGTACATTAGATGGGCAATCTCCAATCTGCCGCTTTTTTGTTTCCTTTAGAATTCCATAATGACTTATGCAAGTGCATGGGCCATGATCTTCGATGTATGAGCTGCATTGAAACGTGAGAAGGGATTTTGTAGTCGCGTTTGCTATTGAGGAAAATCACTGAAAGCCATCGTATTGGATCAAGATATTTGAGAACCACTCTTTCATTGAGCTATTGAAGTATTATGAATAATACCGTCTACGTCCTTATGCAGAGACGTGCTCCGTTATCTACAACCTTATGTTATTGGATGAGAAATAAATCGAAGAAATCCACCCCATTAATTGACCCCTCATATTTGTATTATGCCTCAAAATTATCTCGAATGTGGTCTCTTGCGCCGCAGTCTTGCGCCTTCAATTCCCTCAAACCCAATACCAAACGAACCCTTGAGCTGTGAGCTATGAAGCTATGTAGCTATATCAGACATCACGTCAGCCCTCTATCCCGCATTCCACATTCCACATTCCACTGAAATAGAATCCACTTACCCCTCCATTTAATCTAGAACTTATCAATGACCACCTCCTTGCTGCTCCAAAAAAACATCAAGCCGGGCTTCGACGTCCATTTCTAGACTATCCGCCGTGTTTTCTTTCTTAATTCTGATACCGTCGTAGAGAAATCTTACACTCTGAATATCCCCAATCTCCTTATGCTGACAATAAGCCTCCATGATCTTCAGCATAGGCTTGGCGCGCTTAATCTTGAATGTGATCTCATCACCCTGTTGATCTACGACCGTAACAGAGACCGTCTTTGATTTGTTAGAGCCCGCACCATCACCAGTGCCAGTCTCAGGTTTGTTCTCGCGAGACGCGGAGGCTGGGGTTTGCGGGTCGGGAGTTGGTGAGTGCATTTTATCTGATTTTTTGCGCTTGAGTTTGTTGGTGTATTAATTGCGACCGAGAGAACTAGTAAATATGGAAGGTTAGAGATTGTATTTTTATAGAAGAGGGCTATCTATAAAGACTTCGACTGAAAATTAACGGTCATACTTACATGAATTTGACCGTTGCTTTTAAGACCCGTCAGTTCCTGGTCGGTGATTTATCAACCGTGGCAGTGTTGAAAGATAGTACTGGATTTGGTATTGCTAAGATTAGGCAGCGAGGTACGACAATTGTTTAAAGATCCTCGATGATACTTCAAGTGAATAAGCACTCATTCGTGCGGTAGAAAGTCGCGACAAACGTTTTGTACTGTATTATATCGACAAACTCTCAAGGAGTCGAAATTCGCGAAACGCGTCGACCCGTGATATTCTTGCTCCTTCTGGTTGCGGGCATGATAGCGGACCAATCATCGCTCATGATATATGATCGAATTGATTGTAGAGTTTACATGTAAATGCGACATATTTCTAGTGAATATTTGAACCACAGAATTATATATTTGCACAGTGATGCTTTAAATTGACACGACGGAGGTCAGAGCTTATTTAGTGCGCACAAGCTCACCGGGGAAGGTGTTCCGGGCCCCTTAGTCAGGAACAGTAGTGCAATTCCCAACGTCACCAGTCAATCCACAAAAGATATAGTAGGACAGATTTCTACTGAATTCACAATTTTAGGTCTAATTTGATCTACCAAACCGTTCCTATTGATATATTTCATCATAATATCCAGTTCATGATGTTGGCTGTTCCCACCCTTTTCTTTTTTCTTTTCAAGAAGTCAGACGCCTGTGTTGAAACTTGTTACCACAACTTTAACTCCGAGCCTTCTCAATGTGTCATCCTGATATTTCTTGAACAACGTTTTCTTCCTCTCTCCTTTCAATCTGCCAATATTCAAATTCTGTAAGCGTGAATCTCCCTTCCAACTCTCTAAGCATGATACTTCGAGATCTGTCCTGTTCGGAATCGAAGTGGCGGGATAACGAAGAAGGGAAAAGGGGGGCAGTCGAGGGTATTTTGAGTGGAGGGGTGTATAGTACACAAAGAGATAGTATGTTTGTATTCTTTGGAAGCCCAATACCATTCTTTTCACTTCGTTCTCGACTCTTGAATGTTTAGCAAAGAGCCGTAGGCGTTGGTCGCAACCTTATTTTGGTCGACAGTCACACCCACAGATGGTCCATGCTATAACTATCATGGAAGCATATATCTCTTTCTTGGAAAGCTTTAATTAACCAGCGCCTGCAATCATGACTCATTCGAGATGGTTCTGGTTTCGAGAACAATATATCAAGATTGTGCGGATCTCTTTACATGAAACCAATACGGAATAACATCAACATAGTTTAGCCCAGAAGGACCTCATACTGTTCCAGAGGACAGGTCATTGTGCATGATATCGATGAGAATTGTATTGAGATGTAGTTCTGTGACGCTTCCCGAAAGTTCTGAAGAAAAAGTTGCTTTGATTCGGTACTTTCCCTGGCACACTCCGCTTTAAAACTTCATAACGGTCATAAATTTGATCCTACATTTGAACAAACAAAAGTGCTATCAAGATTAGATACCCTTCATTGTAATCATTGATTGAAGTAATTTGGGACAATCAAACAGCTCGCCATGATTCAGTGTTCATGCCACTCCTCAGATTGAGAGTTACTATCAAAAAAACATCGGAACTTTTGATACCACACAAGGCTATTCAACACATAGCCATAGATTTTAAACAGATGTTCCACTTGTAGGAAGAACTCGATTTCAGAGTTTCTTGTTAGTAAACTCAGTAGTTGTCATCAATCACAAATACTAGACAGTGAGTAGAAGAGTAGTTTTTGATTCTGTGCAGCGACGAACTAAATCACTGCATCGCTGCACAGAATCACTGCGAAAAGACAGATTTGAACGATTCCACTGGGAAATTCACTCTCCTTGTCATGTTTAAGTAATCTTCGGCAAGTAAAAGTGACCTCGGGAGCTTTAGAAATAGCTTAAAGGACGGTGGGCGGTGAGAGCATGGGTAAAGTAGATATACTCTAATCAAATAGGGATTAGCGTCATTTCTTTACGCGATTTGAATAACTTCAGTTTCTCTTGCGACAAATTTTCTCTTTTCTTTTTTTCTTTTTTCTTCAGCCGAGATTAATCAAAAATTTGTTTCGATAACTTTCAACTTGACACTGCAGTGTCAATCTGGATCTTCATTCTCTCTCTCCTCCTCTCTCCTCCTCTCTCCTCCTCTCTCCTCCTCTCTCCTCCTCTCTCCTCCTCTCTCCTCCTCTCTCCTCCTCTCTCCTCCTCTCTCCTCCTCTCTCCTCCTCTCTCCTCTCCGCATTACACGTTGATTGGTGAGATCGCTGAATAGTGACGATTCCTTCCGGGTCCCACGAACGGCTCCAGCTGATGCTCATCATTGCTCGGAAATGCAACCTCTCCATACTTCTCTCCCACTTTAATCGCTCCTTGATCGATATACAAATGCTTCTTTGTTATATGAGCGATTTCAAGGTTAGTTCTCCGTTGCTACAAAATTATTTCACATAATAACGGCAGGAAAAATTAGGTATCTGAGACCAATTAATTTTGTGTTCTCCGATCTTACTTTCAAATACAAAGAGACCGTCTTTGCACCATTTTCATACACCACTCATATCCGAGACCAATTAATTTTGTGTTCTTGGGTCTTGATTTCAAACAGAAAGGAGCCGTTTTCACACTTTTTTCATATGTCATGAGAAATAAACAACCGAGTTCCCACACAATTTCATCAGAACTATCAACACCTTGCATTTTCATCGAATCCGCCCCCTCAAGTTCTGTCGAAATTCAGACAAGAAAGAACCTCGAACGAAAGAGGTACCAATAACAATGTAAGCAATCATTTACCTTCATTTGCCTGCAATTGAATTCTTTCGCTTTTCAGTAATGAGTGGATACTTTTCCCCTCAAATCAGTTTCAATTATTTCTTTTCCTTCTGATCAATCGAGTGGAACTTTTTCCCATCGAAAGATAACAGTATGGCTACTGCCCAACAGATCTCAAACTTGAGCGAGCTGTTCTACATTTGAGCGTTGGGGTTTTCTTGTTATCAATTTTAGCATGAATTCGACATTTACTAACAATCACAATGGTATAGGGAACACAGCGGTCCATTAGCACCATGGAAAACCGAAGAGCGAGCAAAGCAAAAAGAAGAGCCCAACTCTCGAAACAAATCAAAAGAGCCAAGAACTATCACTGTCTGTTCATCTAAATACATCCTGGCACGAGCCCGATATTTCAACACTTCACAGGTTACGCCAGAGCATGCTCGTCTGGGACTGCGCGTTCAGAGACAACAGGAACGATCGAACTCAATCTCTTACCATTTTGTGCTTCCAAGTTTACCGTAGAGCAACACCAGACGTCCCAGTGCCGATAAATTCTCTTCAAAGAATGCTTCTACTCAAACCAAATTTTCCTACTCGTCGGCAGCCTCGGTTTTTCTAGAAGAAGCGGATCAAATATCTTCAGCAGGTGGTACGACTGGTTTGCTCTCAATGTCTCAAAATGGTATTGAACATTCAAATGGTCGCCTGGTTTCAAGCAGTCTTTCAAAACAACACAGGGGTATTCATACTTCACCGAACCTTGCACATGTCACCTCGATGCTTGCCACAGAAGTCCCATCATCTACCATTGGTTCTTGTGTAATGCATGCTACTTCACCTTCAAAGATTGCTCCAGCAAAGCCTACAGCTTTCTTTCCATCATTGTGCCAACAACCTCCTGCTGCTGTGTTTAGTGTAGCTGCTTCTCCAAGAGTTTTACCTATCATCGATTCAAGTCTTTCTGTGGCAGCATCATCAACTAACATTGGCTGTGTCGCACTCAATGGTCATTTAAGATCGGAATTTCCAGCACAAGTTCAACTGTTCGATTCAATACCTGCCACAGCACTTCAAATTCCTGTTGGTCGGCCTGCTTTCACTTCAAATGCGTCTATGCAAGTGCTGCCTCGCCCTTCACCAGATGGAACTATCAATGAACTCATTGAAGCTGACAATCTTCTGATGTTCAATATTCCTTGATACAGTCTTGATCCGCGTACAGAATTATTGGAGCTCCAAGAAATGTGTCTACACCATCTAGATTCTACATATCTTGCCATTGTTTCAGGTGATTTAGAACTTTCTAATGATACTGACCTTGAATTTGGAGGACTCAATCTTCTTGTTGAACATGGCATCCAACTTAACCAGGTCACTTGCCTTGCTTGATTCCAGGACCTTTCGATGTTACCCACGGGGAGTTGATTGCGAAGCTGAATTTCCCGATATACAACGCAGCGCTGAACACACAATTTTCTCAGCCCAGTCATCTTTCACTCTTAGTTTCGAAAACATGACTGCTTAGTCTCGCAAATCTATGTCATTCCTCGATGTCTCCACTCGGGAGAGACAATCAAATAATCTCTCAGGATCAATTTGAGAGCAAACTTGAGATACTGTTCATGCTTCGAAACCTGGTGCACACATCTAGGGAAGAATAGGATGGGGTAGCTGCAAGTTGTTGGCTGTGAAATTGCTGGACTGCAAAGTTGCTCAGAATATGGGATTGTGGCATGGTGATGGGAGACTTTGCTTTATACAGTAATGATACTTATTAAGTAGAAAACCTAATGCATAAACTCTTGACGTGTAACCACAAGTCTCATGTGAATTCGATATCTTTGGCTGTACAACGATCTAATCCAAATTGTATTCCATAGACGAAATACCAATAGACGATTTATGAAGTGGATATATAGGAAAATGCCAATGTGCTCATGACTCGAGTTGTAACCACACTAACACAAAATTATCAAAATCCAGTAAACCAACCGATGCCTTTCTTACCTCGAAGAATCTGTCTTTCTGAATGACTAAAAAACATGTGAAGTTCGCGATTCAGAATTCTTGAAATAAAATAGAATGAAATAGAAATGATCTATCTTCGGTGCTGTTGAATTGACTCGGAAAAATAGATTTTCCGTGATGACCTTATGTGTCGGGACGAGCGGATTGCCGCATGTATTGTTCATGAGCACTCCAACAATCCAGAAGATATAGGCTAGAGTACTAAACTGCAACCTTGAATGCTTGTGACATGTCAACAAGTGCTGTGTCTCATGGCTATGGGCCAAGTGGTGGTCACCCTAAGTTGGGGTCGCCGATTTCCAGCCATCATTCAGGTGGTGAATGTCGCGAGTGTTGACTCTCCATTGGATATAAACTTTACGATGTGTGGCCTTTGAATGGGAATGGCTTTTAATTTTCCTTGTGGAATTATCATAATCTCATAATCAGTTAACTCTCGATAGGAGGGCGAAGAAATTTAAATGGAACGTGAACCATTAGCAACTGCACTGGCCAGCGCTTATGGCGTTTATTTGGGTGTCCATTGTCCTGGAAGTTTGACCTCGATGGTCATTCAGGCCGATATGTTTATTATTCTGTTGGCATCTAGACAAGGTCTAGTATAATGGCTCAACAGCAAATCCCTTATATACGGCAGTTCGTCAACAAATCATTCACATACGGTATTGTAGCATAAAATGTTATTTGCTTAATAACCACCAAGTTTCCTTGCTCATATCTTTCATTCTTCTCGATCATCAAGCTCATTCATAATGTCAACTGAAGGATATTCACCTGCCGATGTAATGCCTCTCGAGGGTTCGAGCCTTTTCTCCAACCTTCCCACTGAATTAAAATGCCGAGTTGTCGATTTACTTGCCGCAAAAGACGTCATCAATCTCCGTCTGACATCAAGAGCTTGGGGTGGAGTATCTGTCAATGGTCTTTTCAATGTTCGGACTGGAAATCATATCGAACATGGTGTATTTTCCATTCGACCACATATTGACGACATGACTCGATTACGATCTGTTGCTGGCTCGCCATGGCTAGCGAGAGTCATCAAACATGTGAAGATATATGTTGGAGATCTTGATATGTTAGAATTTGATCATGAAGTTCAGACTGTCAACAGATATACCAAAATCGAGAGTATGTTGACTTGCGAGAGGAAGGTTAATACCTTGTTGGAGCAGATTGTCCAGAATAGGATGAAACATTGTGATCCGGTCATGCTGTCTCATTCCCTTTCGAAACTATCATCGGTTAAATCCGTTACAGCCACCGCGAATGAATGCCCATTTTCGCCTTCGGAAATCAACTTCACATTAGCATGGATGCGACTCATGCGAAGATGGAATCGTGAGCCAGACGCACTTTACGACTCCTACGATACTACATTTCCTACAAGATCAAGTATCAGACATCTCAGTATACTACTTGCAACGCGGTTGCTTCAAAATCCTGTTCGCAATTTAGTACTGGATACTTTCCCAATCGATCTTTTCGCTAGTCGAGGCTTCCACGACGACGACGACCAAACCGGAACATCATATGAAATTCACACTGATTTCCTCCATGATATGCAAGACATGACGTCAAAAGTCGAGAACCTCCGAATTGGTATCAATCCTGTTAGCAGTAACGCAACAACTCACGAGCACACCGGAGTAATCGCTAAATCTATAAGTATGTTCATGGGATCCATGCAATCCCTTCGATCTATAGATATTACTTTAAACATGTCCTCTCGATTTCCGAGTGATTCAATGGAATTAACAACCCAGGATGGATTCTATTCCAATACATTCCCCCATCTCGAGCACTTTCGTATTTCCAAGGTAAGATCTTTCGATACTCCTTTCTACTCATTCATATTTCGTCATAAAGCGACTTTGAAATCGTTATCCTTAGGACATGATTTCTTCCTCGTTCCTCAAGATAGGCCCAGAGGATGTGTATCTGTCAAATCTATTCTTTTCAAATTGCGCAATGGTATGAAGTTGGAGAGATTCCAATTATTGATCAGGGCCAGTGATCAACATATCTATGATCAGGATTGGCAGATCGTCAACTCTCCCAATAATAAATTATCGGATGCAAAATTGTTCGAAATGTTCGTGCTGGGAAAATGGTCGTGGCCGATGATAAATGTGGATTATCCGCATTGGAGACGATTGGATGAGTGGAAAGGATGGGTTAGAAGAGATGGGTGGGACAAGCTAACGTCGAAGTCAAAGAGGGATATTAAGGAGTTGGATTGGCAGGATGGAAACGTATAATCGAAAAGTATAATTCTTCTTTAATCTTTTGATTTCTTTGGTTACTTTATTTGAGCAAAATTTGATCAATGAGTTCTCCAAGTGACGGTGTGAGAGTTCGATGAATGCCGAATCGTTCTTTCCTTTTCAAATAGCATGCTGAAATGAGTTATTAGTAGAACTAGATTTTCACTCTATACCTTCATTTCTCTCTTCTAATTTTTCACCATCCTCATTTTTCATCTCCATGGCTGTCATTTCCCTCTTTTGAAGAAGCTATCTAGTAGTACAAGGCTAGCTCATACCAGATACCAGCAAGATCTGTCAATGTGGGGCTTCTCCAAGACTTTAATATGACGTGCATCACTAGATTTCCGTCTTGACCTGTTTAGCTCGATCTAGGGCTGCATGATGCTTCTACTAATAGCTGTATCATGTGATTTTTCTGCGTCACGGCTAAGGATAGTCCTTGATGAGACGTTGATTGCTATGAGAAAGGAATGGTGAGGTGTGAATTAGTGCTGGATTAGACGGTTTGGGTTTCTATAGTATGGAAATGATATGCTTGTTTTTAATGACAGGTACGCTAGGTGGTGTTCCGAAAATATTATATAAAGAATTTTTTTACGGTTCAATGTCTTTAATATATAAAAATCGTTTGCACTCCAATCAAGCATATTAACCACGTATTATCTACTCCTTTCATCGTGTTGGACATTTACTTCATCTTAGACTTTTCAAATCTTAAATATTCTACTCCTATCAATCTCTGAAAGCATCAAAATGCCTAAATCCACATCCACCTCCACATCACCCCCCTCTCGACAAGAGTACTTCCCCGGAAGAAGTATTCCCACCGAAACCTTCCGCCTAATCACAAAGTACATCGACCCGGCCACTCTCCCCAGCGCCAGATTGGTAAGCCGTAGCTGGGCACTATTGATGCTAGAAGTGCTATTCGCACAGCGCGGTTTCTCCATATCACCTTTCAAAAATGGCATGCAAAGACTGGAGGAGGTGGCGCAAACCATTGCAATGCCATCGATCCATCACTTAGATATCGGTCTTGGAATTGTTGATAGTCGCAGATTGGGTTTGCATATTCTGCGTAACACGCCGTCGGTTTTGCTCGCGAAGATGTCGCAAGATGAGAGAACGCGATGGTTGCGGGATCGCTTGTTGGGAGAGTCGGATAAATATTTACGATATTGTCGCGGCGAAGCGTTTGCACGACTCTTGCTGCCTCTCAAAAATTTGTCTTCGATAACTATTTCGCATATTGAGAATCATATTTCTCCGAGCTTGTATCAGCGCCATGAAGAATTGTTGGATGATCCAGAAATGGACATGCAGATCTACACTCTGAAACAATGGGCCTCTCTACCTCCAATCAAGTTTCAGGGGGTTCTCGATATACTCACTCGTACGTCTCTATCTGGATCTATTGCCCTCAAACATTTGAAAATCGAATCGCTTCCCATTTACACATTCATGACTTGGGATTCAGAGAGGGCAATTGGCACTGATGTCTCTGCTCGATTCATTGAAGCTTTTTCTCATCTCGAATCACTTTCATTGGGTCTCTCATGCTGTGTTCCCAATGGACTTTTATCTTTGAATCCTGAGCCTTCATGTTTTCATCATAAGGCTACAAGTTTTATCGCCCAGTGGAATATATTAGCCATCGACACCATGTGTAAAGTTGTGTCTTCGATGAAGAATCTCAGGCAGTTAGATTTAAATTGGCAAATATCGTCTATTGATGAAGAAGAAGGGTGTATTCCCCAAAGGAACTCGAAAAATTTGAGACAGATGTGGAATGAATTATTTCTCGAAAGTACTTTTCCGAATCTCGAAACGCTGCGACTTTCTTGGTTCTGTATGGAAAAGATAGATCTCTTTACATTTCTGTACAGACATAAAGATACGTTGAAAAATGTAGATCTGGGAAATTATACTTTTGATAAAGATGATACGTCGTGTTCTTTTCATGAGTTTTTCGAGGGTATGGAGAAGTTGCTGGAGTTGGAGCAGTTGGAGTGTAGAGACGTGTATTCGATTTCGGCGAGCGTGAGGAAGAATTAAAGGAAGGGGAGAATGTATAAGGAGATAGTGAAGAAGTAGGGATTTGATAGGGAGGAATGAATGATTTTTGTACATAGAAAAAAGGGAGAAGAATCTAGTTGGAAATGATTTTCATAATTCCTCTGAGCACGATGTTTCGTGACGGTCCGCTGAGAATGTTGTGTCTTCAGAGATGATTGCCGAGGCCGGAAGGTTGAATACTTTCCTATAAATGTCCATGGTGCTTCGAGCGCAGCGAGCAAAGGGGGTTTGGGGGCTTGCCCCCATTAATAAGTGAAAACATGAATTTTGAAGTCTATTTTTATTCGTGAGATCACGTCTAAGGGTATATCGGACTGCAAACTCGTAAAAAATGATCATCAAGATGAAGTTTGCAATTCTCTTCTCTTGACAACATCCTCAACAACCTGTTCCAACCACCATGCATGAATCCTCGCATCACCTGTTAGTTCTGGATGGAAAGATGTCCCAAAAACATTTGCTTGACGAACGGCTACTATATCTCCTGCTTCGCTATTGAGTGATTCTTGAATTTCTGGGTTGGAATGGGTCGTGCGACCGGGAAGTGTGGCGAGGACTTCCACAGGAGCGGAGAGGATAGTATCAGGGTTTGGGATAGATTTTGAGTCGATTGGTAGAGAGGGTGCGATAACTGTGGAATCCAGTGTGGATTCTGAGATTTGGGCACCTGGAACGTGGGGGAGGAGCTTCTCCACGATAGGGGCTCGGATGAATATTGCAGAGAAAGGTGCAGGCTTCTCTTTGTCTTCTGGAGTAGAAAGAGGGGTAGAAGTAGGATCCACGTCTGATGAAGTCGGGTCTAAAGATGAAAGAAATGGTAGATCTAGATTGGCCGAGAAAGATTCTACTTGTCGACCAAAATGATTACGATTCACTCTAACATCGAGACCACCAATCAACTCCTGGCCACCGGCTTTCGTACGGTTTGCAGACTCGGCAAGTAGGATAAGACCTGCACAAGTTCCCCAAGTAGGATAGCGATGATATCTATCAAGTTGTTAGAATGAATACTGGATGAAGGGGGAAAAGTCATGTGGATGACTCACTTCACATAAGCTCTCAAAGGCTCGAGAAGACCGGATCTTTGAGCAACAAGTGAAATGGCAGTACTTTCACCACCAGGGATGATGAGTGCATCACATGAATTAAGTTCGGCTTCATTTCGTACTTCTATGAATTTGTATTCAATGGGCAAGTCTCCTTTTGGTGATTTTGACGTAGATTGGAGTTTGGATTTGGATTTAGTGGCGAGGATTTCACTGGCGGAACGGAGACATTGAATATGTTCATTGAAAGCACCTTGAAGAGCTAAAACTCCGACGGTGATGTTCAAAGGTTGGGTATTTGCCATATTAAGTATTGACGGGGGAGGAATGCTTTAAGGGAAAAGATATAAATAAAGTGATGGCTACGATATAAAAAATATATTCTCCACATGATTTTGATATATTCTCGGAACGAAAGGAAATAACGAATGCCAAGAAAACGATAAACTCAACCGATTACCGAAGAATATCCTTGTAATTTTACCCCAAAGAACTGGGTAGTGAAGTCACCCGAACAACCTTAATTATCGTCTGAACCAATCAAAATTGGATTATGTAAACCAATGAAAATTAATCCTCAACCATTTCTTATGCGCTCAAGGATCTCAAGATTTAAGCTTCACTTGTGTTCGTTCCTTCCCCTCCTCCTCAATCTCTTGAACCGCTTCGACAAAATATTGTATTGGTTGATTATCTTATGTCACTCTACTTCCCTCCTTGAGAGGGTCATTTGAACATTCGATTAATTAATCATCCAATCATTAAAAGGTTTTATTCATTTGTGCAAGATTAGCATAAACAAGTCAAGCTCTCAGTCATATTTTACATCTCCCTAGGTATTCTGGGTACTTAACTCTCACGATGTTCGCTCTTCTTTCTTACGCTACAAATCTTTCGATAATCTATACCGTCCTCACTCTATCTCTCTACATGCTCTCTCCTATCGTGCCTCTCGCGGGTTTCTTCGCTCGTCTCCTCGCCGGTTATATTTCCCTCGTCCTTTGCGCCTGTTATGGAGTCTTCATATCGATTCTCCTACGCCTCGTAGGAAACTATCGCATATCGCAATGGGCCGTTGCTCGCGCATTTAAATGGACAATGTGGTTAACTACCGGCGTAACATTCGTCGTCGAAGATCCGAACAATTATCTCGGTACAACACGTCCTGCCGTCTTGATAGGAAATCATCAAACCGAACTCGACGTACTTATGTTGGGCTGTGTATTCCCTCGATACTGTTCCGTTACTGCGAAGAAGAGTTTGAAGAATGTGCCGTTCCTAGGCTGGTTCATGAGTTTGAGTGGAACGGTATTTATTGATCGGGGTAATGCGAAAGATGCGCGACAGGCTATGGCGGGTGCAGCAAAGGAAATTCGAGAGGAAAAACAAAATGTTTACATGTTTCCGGAGGGAACGAGAAGTTATGCAAAGGATCCCACTCTATTGCCTTTTAAGAAAGGAGCTTTTCATTTGGCGGTGCAAGCGGGTGTGCCGATTATACCGGTCGTAGTCGCTTGTTACAGTAATGTTTTGCACGTCCAGAGCTGGCACTTCAAATCGGGGAGGATACCGGTCAAAGGTAGGGTCTCTGTTTTCTATGCGAGATTTTAGAGATGAAGCTAATTCTGGGGAAATTGTAGTTTTGAAACCAATCGAGACGAAAAATCTCACTTCTGCGGACGTCGAAGATTTGGCGAGAGATACGAGGGAATTGATGTTGAGGGAGTTGGTTGCTTTGACTTCGAAGACAGAGAGAAAGCCAATAGCTATGCCGACACAAAATGCGGATGGAGTTGTGAAAGCTAGTGGAAGGGAGCCGCAAGTGGAGCATCATATACTATGAGGGCTTATATGCTGTCAAGGAAAGGGCCGATCCTTAAAGGCAGATGGATAGCTACAGGACCGGATAGATCTCTACATGGAAGAGAGATGGCACAAGAAAAAAGGGTGGGTTGTACGAAAACGGAACACAAAAGGAAAGATGGGGAGTGGAAACAGGTCATGGAACATGAGATATGATATTCAGCACGCGAAAAGATTTTCTCTTGCATGAGTTTGGAGTACATGGACATGGAATATCAATGCGAATGCGAAAATTTGAAATTCAGATAGTGGTAGATACCCGGTAGAATTGGAATTTGATCTGAAGAACAAAATGGATGTCGTTATGAAATTCTATACTGCACAGAAATTTGGATGATGCATGGCCTAGAGCTCAAGTCCAAATTCAAGTGGGAATTCCAGTTTGATGTCCAATATCCAAGGTGACCCCGCTCTCCCACCCATAGGTATTTTTCCTGGTCTTCTACCTTACCTTCGTTATCTCTCATCTTCATTTGACGTTTTTGCTACGCCTGAAGACTGGTTCTCTTCTTGCATGGTTTGCAAATATAGAGGCAACTATTCCGTGTTCTTTGCTAGATACTAGGTGGTTTATTCGAGTTGATAAATGCGATTCGTGTGAGATGAATGAGTAGTTCTGTATATTAAGGCTAGATTTCCACTTTGATGTGGGATTGAGTAGGTGGTTGGAGATGGAGAGTGAGAGATGGAGGGAAAAGAAGGAAACATAGAGGGAGAAGGGAAGGAGAAGGCAAAATAGTGATGGTGTGGAAAGGCAGAAAACAGGATTGAAGTGAGAGCGGTTCGGGACTCTCGTAAACTGCAGGTTTTACCTGGTATTTTGAAGCAGGTTTGGAAAGTTTCGATATTTGAGATGTGTTGTCGCAGATGAATGGGTTGCCTAGTAATCAGATTAAGATTGGCTGTTCTCCTTGCGGTATATCTATTGTTGAAGTCGAATTTGGGACTGAGCGTGCTGTTGATGAAGATGAAGAGAAATGGTATTATGATGATTATTGCCCATGAAGAACTCGGAAGATATGGGGGTTGAAGATATTGAAAGATGTGAAGGAAAGTACCTATGTACTGACCAGAAAGCTTGATCTACATACCATGAAAGAACGTGACTTGCTCCCATAATCATAATGTGCCCAGCTGACTCAAATCAACCTCACCTTGCAAAGGGTGAACTTCGGGAGTCGGATTTTGTTAATGCCGATACAGCATCTCTTACCACTTATTAATATTCTCCCCTCTATCAAACTTACACATGTAGAATCATAGACCACCTTTTACAATACAAAGTCCTTGAGACACAAAAGTTGTTATTGTGGTGTCAGATCATACTCTTTCATAAAGTATCAGGAATTCAGGTTTGAAGATTGGTTTTTGATCGCTCTTGACTTGGAGATGGAGTATTTGATACTTTGTCCGAAGAATTGCTTTATTTTATCAAGTGGAGCTATCACTTGAAGCAGTAACTGCTCAGTAGTCATACTTATACTTATTGAAGACAACGACCACGCCAACTTTTCGATATTTCGAAACAAACACCTTGGATATTATCGAGGATGCGGTAATCTATCTAGCCACTTGGCCTTGCAAAGAAAGACCTCGACAAATGCCGACGAAGGATTTGGGATACAAGTGTTCTGGCTAGCGACTCTTGCTTCTTGAGAGTCAACTAGTGGAGTCGAGTGAAATATAGGAGAAGGTGAAAGAAGGGGATTTGCTCGATTAGTATTTGAGACCGCTTCACCTTCCTTCCACATGGCGGGTTATGTTATGCCCTTGGCTTGTTTCACGCGCACTTGCAGTGTATACTGTGGGAAGAAGATATGAGGATATGCTAGCGCATTCTCAGAAAAAATCGGCCGATTTCCTGGTTGTTTGGACTTTGATGGTTGAGAATGGGCTGCGGAAGTGGTTTGTGTGGTGATTGCATGTGGGATCGCAAGAGACTACTCAGCGTCACCCTCACTACTACTACCAAGAAGTGTTCTCTCAAGGTTGTCAAGACACTATTTATTGCAAGGATGCTGAGCCACGATTCATTGCCTGGTTAGTTTAACGGTCAAGTGTCTAGTTGCAATTTTGACTGAATTTTCTTAAAAAGAATTATAGATACATTATCCCTTCCTTCATCTCTTCATCATCTCTCCATTATTTCCTCTCCTGTTCGTACACACGCCCTGCCCGCCTTAAGACTAGTTACGATATTCTTCCGGAAGATGCGTTAACATCTTTGAATAGAATTCTTCGCTGAAGTCAATCCTTCCATTGTCTTTCTTCACCTTTTGGCCCTCCATCGCTGTGTAATCTCTAATTCTTATGTTCTCCTTGGCCACAAGCCTATCACCACCAACTCTTGTTTGATCAAGATAATCCGAAATCAACTTTTTCATAACCTCCTGCTCTTCTGTACGAAAAGGTCGGGGGTCTCGCCAATTAGTCTGAGGCAGTATATTCGTGAGTGTTAGTGTTTGAAGATTCCTGAACATGACTAAACTGCCATTTGTGAAAACTTCTGGTATGAGAAGAGAACGATCTGCATTGCTATTGACGCGAAGAGAAGCGGGAAGAAAATCGCCATGACGATCTCGAATATCTCGAATTTCCAAGTGACGGATACTCTTCAAGCGTTTCCTGTGCTTCTCGTCTATTTGATTATACCATTCAAGGGTCTTTTCCATTCTGTTCTCTGGAGTAACATCTGAGATGGCTACTGCATCCTGTGGACCAAGAATCAGTTGTCTTGGCTGAGAATACTCTTTTTTGCGCTTGTCGTATGTTACCTGACCCTTATATATGTATCTTGATCCTTTCTGAAATTTCGGCTTATCTATAATAGTGTAGTAGCGTTTTGTTAGCTCGCGACTTTCGTAACATATCCTTAAAGTTATGGGTGGTTCGATTTGTTGATCTTCATTCCTGGGATTGCCCGCTCCAATCACAAGACCTAGGTGCTCTGTTTTAGGAGGAAAGCAATATTCCCAGATCATCCACCGCAGCTCAGTGGGCAGTTTCGGGAATTTGTCGAATATCGCAAGCTTTACATGCAAGTATGGGCTCTGGCCGAACCCGGGAGAAGAATTACAATCCTAAGTAAAATTTAGTAATCATTTCAACCGAAAAGAAATCTATGCAAAGGAAATCAATCTCACCAAAAACATGTAATGTACAACATTAAGCTCCGGTTGCATACTTGGTAAATTCCAAGTCCTTTCAAGAAGATCTCTAATGCGTCTAAGAACATTTCTTCGTTGCTTCATGGAAAGATGGGTAATTTGACGCCTTTCAATGGGTGGCCGAGAAATTGGTTCCCAAAGGCTGAACGATCCGCCACATGTAGCGCCAGTGAAAACCGAATCTGAAATTCTCGAAACTACCAGCATGATTGAATCTCTTGTGATGGAAGATCTAGGAACATCAACTGTACCGTGATCGGTTGTAGTTATTGTTCCCCCCTGGTGATCTTGCCAACTAGGTCGTGTGTCAGGGTTAGCAGGTTTGTAGCGATGTTTGGCGGAGATGTTATTGCTTGAGCAAAGTTGATTGCGAAGATCGTTCAACTCCCTTTGCTTTTGTGGATTCCTCGAAAATTCGATGTAGGGGTCCACGTTTGTACTCCAATCCGCGGGGTATTCATCAAAAATACGCGAAGGAAATTCTTTATCGGCATCGATCCACACTGTCGTGCGGGTATGGTTGTTGGCCCAGTGTTCAACATGTACTTCATTGGCGAGTACAGATCGGTAATAGTAGTTCTCGCAACCTCGGGGGTGATATGCGTAAACCACCTTAGATACGTACTTCTTTTCTTGCTCTTCGTGGTATGAAATCATGCCAGGAGGCACAAATGTCTGGGCCCATGTCTCAGCTGCATCACGACGCAACTTCTGCCTGTCGAACTCGTCCTCTATAGTATTTGATATTTTTTGTGAACTTTTAAAAGCTTTTTTCTCCAATGCGCAGCCGTTCGAGTATGCTGTAGCAGAGCCATCTCTATTGTGCTCAGTGGACGTTTGGCCAGTATATTTTTCACCAGTGTGTTTGTAACCAATGTATGTTCCCTCATATGGCACGTTCTGGATAAAATTATCTGCCCAGTTTGACATATCCGGTTCGGTATCGGCGTTGGGATGATCGAAAGACAAGACATTTTCTAAATCTTGGTCAATTTCTGTAATGTTGTTAGAATGCTTCAACGATATGTGAATGGTGCTCAGATTACCTGATGGACTAGCATATTGTATATTCTCAGAGAGTGATTGGGATGCTAATGTCTCGTTCGACTCACTGAAGGAGCTTCCATTGTCTTGAACACGTATCTGTACGAAATCCGAAGGGGATGTCTGAACTGGCTCATTGCGGCTGACATGGTGATCTGATGGAATGCTACTAAAAACATTGAAACAAGTACTTGGATCAGGTGGAGCCGGGGGTGCTGAGGTACGCGACTGGTCATTACGAGCGGAAAGCATGTGCGGATGTGGGTTGAAGATAGCTAATTGACTTCGTGCTATACCGTTGTTGCGGTAGAATGGACTTCTTCGGTCAGTGAAGGCACGTTGAGTCGGACCGGTATCGAGTGATGTGTTGGAAATGGCTTGTTGATTTGGTGCCATTCTAGAGTTAGGATGGTATGAATTTCCTCCTTGGTTACCAAAGGCAAGTTGATTCGAACCTGCGTTGAGTGATGGGTTGAAAACAGCTTGTTGATTTGGTGCCATTCCATAGTCTGGATAGAATGAACTTCTTTCGTGGCCAGTGAAGATAAGTTGAGCTGGACTTGTACTAAGTCGTGGGTTGAAAGTGGCTGATCGATTTGGTGCCATTCCAGAGTTAGGATAGTATGAATTTCCTCCTTGGTTACCAAAGGCAAGTTGATTCGAACCTGCATTGAGTCGTGGGTTGGCACGTAGAGAACTTGGCGATGCGAACGTTGGAAATGCGTAGCCATCTGTGCCATTTTTAGTACTAGTCTGGGACATTGGGTTTGATTTCCATTTATTTACTGAAGGAATAATTACCTATATATTGATTGGAGCCACCGTGCATACCTGTATTGCCATTATCAAAGCCAAAGCCATTACTAAAATGCGGCAGATGGTTGCCCCGGGGCGTGGTCAGTTGTTGAGATCGATTGAGCCGGAAGTAAGAAGGTGCTGTATCGCCGGTTTGATGTTGATTATATCTTTCTGCCGTCAAACCCATCGGAGGATTATTAGGCAAGTAATAAGATGGCGCACTTTGTTGTTGATGATCATCTAGTACATTAGCACGTTCTGTATATTGTCACTGTATAAGGTTGTTAACTTACCAGCTTCCATTGATCTACCAAACTCATAATCAGCTGTTTCCGCACCAGGCATTGTTGAGTTCTGATTATCAGGTGGCCATGGAAGTGGGTTGAATCCGTCCATCTTGCTTGTCAAGTTATCCTTGTGTTGTTGTATGAAGAGATCTAAATGGGAATTTTGTTATGTTTTCGATAGCATATTAGAATTTATTTGTGTTGGAGGGATTTCTCGAGAGACTTTGTTTACGCGGGGTATCACATGATGATGAAATAACAGAGCTCAGGGTGAATATTGGATTTCTTGAACTAGCTGTATTCTATTTTCGTTTGCATTTTGGTTATCGGTTATTGGCTGTGCAGGGGTTTGTGAAGAGAAATGGGAGATCATTGGCTGTAGGGTCTATTTCAAGGACTGTGTGAGGTCAGGGCTTGTAAGTGCAAGATTTGGTTTATTTCGTATAGTTCCCACTAGCTTCTACGTTATGAATCTCGATATACAGTCTTTCACAGGAGAGTTTTCGGTGTATAAAGTACCTATAGTAGTGTGCTTTGAAGTCTGGTATAGCGGAATGCTTTCAGAGTTTCAACAGATTATATGCCCATCATTATCGGCGTGAACGCAAGATTTTAAACGCCTTTATGAAATTGAAGACTCCTAATGGTCTAGTCGTAAACTGAACTATGGGAACCCAAAGAAAAAGTGATTGTCTCGATTACTTTCTCCTCCAATTTCCCTATCTGCTGCGCTCACCAGGCTTTAAGTCTGATAGCGGCTCGTAGAAACAAGGCATATCTAATTCCACCTTCTCAAACATAACCCAGTCCTTTCCTTGTACTTTTCCTTGCTCTCCAAGTATTGCATTCTCCTCTGTAGAAGCCTTACTTCGTCTAACTCCATTGTTTTGTCAAAATAACCCCCAATTGTATACCACGAGAAGCGCCCCTTCTTCATCAAAAGAATGATGATTCCTAGAATCATACAAAATGCTAGTCAACGGAGCTTACTTTCAGAGTATCTAGACAATCAAGAGTTTGTGGTAAAGCCCATTGAAGTAACCCTCCGAGATGGCGAGGACATCGTGTAGACCAAAGCAGAGAGATCTTGATCGTGTATGTGTCTTCCCTATAGTTACCGGAGAGTTGTGAAAATGATACATACTTTTAATCTACTGATTCAACACTGGTATCTGATTCATCCCCCGCCTCAACATCTTGAGATGCAGAGTTCTTTGGATCATTCTGTGCTTCAACATCTTGAGATGCCGACTCCTCCAACAATTGAGAAGCGCTGTTGGCGATTGCAGACAGTAATTTCTGCGTCTTCGCTGGCTTTCTACGACGAATAGACTTGTTTACTCGGTTTGCGGACTGCGAAGAATCCTTTCGAGTATCAGATTTCTGATTCATGGCGGGATGTTCTGAAATGGTTAGAGATCTTCAATTCTATCATCTTAAAGGGGATTAAAACTTACTGAGCGGAGTGGAAGCCTGAGGAGTTTCCATCTGTAGTTGATGAGCGTTGGATGCCAATGTACCTGGTATAGTTGGTGAGAAATCCATAGCGGATCGAGTATCGGCTTCTTCGGAGTCGAGGGCTGCTCCCGTTTCTTCAACATTCGAGGTAGCCGTCGGGTTGCTATCAAACTGGAGTAGTTGTCTAGAACTAGTATCTTGTGGGGAGAAAGGGCCAGAATTGATTGCGTTGAATGGTTGAGCAGCATCTGGAATTTAGTTAAAAAGCTGCGCCAGTGGTGAAACAGTACTCAGCTTACAAGACAGGATTCGATCCTCTGAAGTATCCATCTGATCGCCATCTGAAGCAGGCATATCGCCTTGTTCGTTGCGGACTGTGTGCTCGTTTTGTGGCATATTGCTCAGAACATTAGCGGCATGTAAGTCTTGTTCGCTGTGGACTATATGCTCGTATGGTGGCATATCACCAGGAACAATAGGAACATTCGAGCCTTGTTCGTTGTGGACTATATGCTGATTTGATGGTATGTCTTCTGGAACATTAGGGACATCCAAGCCTTGATCGTTGCTGTATGTATGCTGGTTTGGTAGCATATTACCTGGAACATTAGGAACACCCAAGCCTTGTTCATTGCTGTATGCATGCTGATTTGGTAGCATATTACCTGGAACATTAGGAACACCCAAGCCTTGTTCGTTGCTGTATGTATACTGGCTTGGTAGCATATTACCTGGAACATTAGGGACACCCAAGCCTGTGCCTACTGGCCCTGGAGCTCTCTGATCACTAGCATAACCAGAAGGTGTATGAGGTACAGGGCTTTGCGTAACTCGGTCTGTATATTGATTGAACGCCACTTCGGAAGGTGTAGTGAGAGGATGGGAAGGTGTTGTGAAAGAGCCATCTCCATCATCTTCATCTTCATCATCATCATCATACATTTCATGATATTCTGCGTTAGGGCGAGAATTGTCTCGCTCTAGGATGGCGTTTATAGGATTCGTATAAGGAAGATTGGTTGGCATGCGGCTTCCGGAGCTTTGAATGGCTTGTTGTGTCGAAGCCATATTATTGTATAGCATATAGTCGTTACGTTGGACGGCCTGATACTGGGGAATATTCCAGGAAATGTTATTGCCGTGATTGGTATGGTGTGTAGGAACTGGGGTGTTCTCCGAAGCTTGACCAATGATACCTCCTTGATAGTTATTCATTGGATTCATCATACCTGTAGTCATACCCCGTTGATGAACTCTCTGACCCTGGGGTTGTGAACCGCCGTGATACTGTTGGGAGTAATAGTGATTTACTCTATTCATCATAGATGTAGCCACACCCGCTTCATTGGCTGGGGAGGAAAAGTTATTCATCAACATCGTGTTGACTAAATAGTTGTTCACTGTTGCATCATCATTAGAAAGCTCTGAAGATGGAGAAGAGGTAATCATCTTACAATTTTGAAATGCGCTCGAGTTGGATGGATGTTCTACACGATTATTCCCATTATGAATGCCTTGGTCTGCATTATCTCCCAAGTTGGATGGATGTTCTACATCATTATTTCCGTAACCTTGGTGTCCATTATTTCCCAAGTCGGATGGGTATTCTAGAAGATTGTTTCCGTAACCTTGGCGCGCATTATTTCCAAAGTTGGATGGGTATTCTAGACGATTATTTCCATAACCTTGATGCGCATTATTTCCAAAATTGGATGGGTATTCTAGACGATTATTTCCATAACCTTGGTGTGCATTATCTCCCGAGTTTGGAAACAGCGAAAAGTCGCGGATGTTGCGGAAGTTTCGGAGAAGCAACTCACGATTTTGACGTTGAGCAAGAAAGCTGTGGTGACTAGCCACCATTTGATTTGGCGGGGCAATCGAATTTTCTTGGTTTGGTTGTTGATGATTTGCATTTTGAATATCTTGGTATGCATTATCTCTCGAGTTGGATGGATCTTCTACACGATGGTTTCCATTATGAACACCTTGACGTGCATGATCTCCCGAGTTTGGAAATGGTGTTAACTCGTAGATGTTGTGGAGAAGATGCTCGTTACGCTGCCGATTTTGACTAAGCATGTTGTAATAGCTGGCTAGTTGACCTAGCATGGCATTCGAATTTTCTTGGTTTGGTTGCTGATTATTTCCTGCTTTGTTGATTAGCATGCATTCATTGTGTTTATACTATGAACGTGTCGTCTTACCAGTGAAACCTGCACCAGGCTGCGCACCTTCTTGTAACACGTCATGTGGGACTCCAGTAACAGAGCCAATTGAAGGGCTTCTTAAATATACTCCGTCGTCCAGGGCATATTGAATTCCAGAAGGTGGACTATCGGGCACATTGTTGGATGGTGAAATGGGTTGATTATTGAACTCGCCGGTACCCGCCATCCAGCGATGAATGCGGTCTGGGGATCTGATCAGAGTGCGAGTGTCTGGTCGCTGTGGCTGTGGTTCTTTGGGCGGGGAAGCCATGTTGAATGTCGATAGATATTGGTGTTTGGTGTCGAGGTTGATTTGATGTTGTGTTGTGTTGTATTGTATGAAGTTTTTTTTATTTTTGATTATCACTGTTGTTCTCTTGCGGAAGATTGCACATACGAAATGCGACGAATTTGCGGATATGAGCTAGTGTTTGTTTATACAGTCGCGTATTTTACCTCGTTTCAATAAATTAGTTAGGTTAGATAGAATTTAGATAATCTATGTTCAACACGCTAGTGAAGGGCTGATGTCATGGAATTAGGGCTAGATGGGTAATTAAGATGGTGGTCAATGCTAGGAAGTTTTATTGTGTGCTAGTAATCTGAAAGGAAAACTAGACAGGGAGGGACTTGGTGGAAAATTGATACTGCTTCATATTGTTCAAGATGATATGGGACAATCTAGGTGTCATGAAGAGATTTACAATTCTTTAGTCAATTCCTTTTTAAATGATGAGCTCCTTGTGCGCATCTACATCCTTCTAATTCTGATGGTCCAAAAGATTTTGACTAATTTTCACTCTAAATTAGCGTGGCTTTTTAGTGAGCAACCATTTCCGGAACGCTAGTCAAATAATAAAGCTAATACATTGTAAACAATCCTTCTACTATATACATCGCCAGATACCGCTATGTGAGAAAGCACACATAATCTTATCACCTACCTTATCTCATTGAAGAAGTAATTAACAATTTCTTTCCTTCTTCATTTTCCATTTCCTATTCTCCTCTTCATTCTCCCCCTTTATTCACTGCGGAGAGGGGACGAACGATACTCTTTACTCTCTCTTGGACTACTCTTCCTCGGGCATCAAGGAGTCCTAATAGTTATTTAACACTAGCACAACAAAAAGAGCTAACGGGTCAAATAGTAGCATCTAGACATAAATCAGCTAGTAATACGAAGATGCGCTTTTTATGAGTACTTCTCAAGCCTTTATACTAAGAAATGACAGTGTGGATATAGAAAGAAAACTCCTGATGATCTCCGCTTCCTCTCTCTTGAATCATGTGATCAATTATTGTGAGTGAGCCTACACCCCTATTATTTTAAAGTCCTTAGATACAAGAATGAAATCCCTTATAATCCTAGATCCTCTCTATCTGTTTTTCGGTCTATCACCCTCATTTCCAAACTCTACAATTATCCCAACTTCTATCATACAGTCACTCTCATATCCTTATATTCATATAGCATACAATATAATCTTACCACGTAGCCATAAATCACATCACCCCATCACCCCATACCCTACACCACACCAAGTCCTTCCACAATCCACAAAAATCACAGCACGAAGTACTCTAATTCCCGCAGATTCTAGAATACAAAAATCGAGATAAACGTGCAAAATTCCTCAGAACCGTATCATATCCCTCCGTTGCTCTCATATCATATACGCCTCTTTCTCCTCCCCCATTTCCCCTTTCCCCAGACGAATCCAAACCATAAATGTATTTCATCCCCATTAGAACGACCATTCTCCCCCCTCCTTTCTCCTTTCCCTCACTCAACAATAGAAGTATCTCATCTCCATCTCCATTCCCACACCCATCCCCCAACCCATCCCCCTCCCCCTCCCCCTCCCCCTCTCCTTCCAACACAAACAACAGCATCCCCCCAACCAACACACAAACCAACACACAAATCAACACACAAATCAGCACACAAATCAGCACAGCACAGCACTACCCAAACAACCACCAAATTTTCCCAAAAGATCAAAATATCAACATATCAACATATATGCTCTCAAAACCCATCTCACTAAAATTAGATATTCAATGTCCATTACCTCGATATCAGATATCACTAACAATATATCAATACGCGCCACAGTTTTACTAGACTATGTTTCAAGCAATAGGTTACCTATACTGATCCCTATCAACCAACCATTAAAAAAGAGAACCAACTTAAACATATAGCCCCTCTCTTTCAATCATTAAACCCCTCCCCCTCACCCTCCCCATCCCCCTCCCCCTCCCCTTCCCCACCTCATCTCATCTCATCTCATCCAATCCACCTCCACCTCCACCTCCACCTCCACCTCCATCGCCCAAGAACCCAGAGACTCAGGTACCTAGTTGGGCGACGGAAGGGAAGCACAGAGACACCTAACAACAAATACGAATTGATCAAAATCAAAATCTCACTCGATAGACATCACACATGCAGCGGTTATATCCCTCCCTGCCTTTGGTCTCCCATTCAGAACTTCAGAAGCTCAAGACTCCCAAGAAATACCTACTATGCATAGCTCACAACCCAAAATTCACATGCAAAGCCATTCTTCTTTTTGTCTAACTCATTGCAATTCATTTAAAGAAGATCGCGGGTATCTACTAGACCAGATTGAACCAAGCCAATCATTGTACAATACAATGTAGCCAACTATCTATCTACCTTCTCCAATCCCCCCTAGTAATACCAAACCAAATCTTCTCTCAACTCCTCATCTATGCAAGACTGCAATTAGATTCAGTCCAATAAAATCATGTACTTTAGCCTAGACGCATCTATTGCGTTGGTATATCCGCCAAGATGCGGATGGATATTCTATCCTTCACACCTTGTTTCAAACCTGATCACTCCATATTTATAACTTTGCATCCAACTCCTCAAACTCACTAATATGCTTGACCGGCTGTGGTCCAGCAGTAACTTGCAACATACCCTTGAATTGTCGTACATCCGTGATGACATATGGTACAGTACCATTGCCTTCAGCTTTGACGGCAATAGCTTCTCCATCTTCAGCATCTTTACGATCCTTATTGATCGCAAGAACAGTTTGTTCCTCTGGTTTTGCTTCTGGCAAAGAGGTTCCTTGAGCAATGAGGTGAATGGAGAGTTTAGAACGAAGTGGAGAGGATGGTAAGATGAATTGATTATAGAATTGGATCATATCTTCTTTGGTGAGTGCTTTGACATTGGCGGCATCATGATGGACTTTGGAAGGGGTCAGTTACTTTAAGTCAATAGTGTATACGGAATAACTTACCAAGCTCAAAATCAAAGTACTCATAATCAATATGAGACCACAAACGATTTGATTCTTGATCCAAATTCTTCAATTTCTCCAATCTTTTGGTAATCAAACTTCTCTTGTGTCCTTCAAATTCGGAATCTGACATATTCTTGAGGATTTCTGAGTATCCAAGCAAGAAATAATCGATCCGCTCTTCAAGATATTGTGGAGTTTTCTCACTTTGGATGATAAATCTATAAGCGATGGTAGTAGTAGTTGTCGAACAACCACTGAATACAACATATCCCAACTGCTCCTTTGTTCTTAATTGATCAAATGCTGGTTCATGAGTCATTTGATCGAGGAGAAGAGTCTTGGCTCGTTGAGGACGAACAGCCTTATCTCCAACAGATAGAACATATTCTATACAGTGGTTGACATTGGCTGGATCTTTCAAAGTCTTATGATAAACGAAATTGGCACCAGGTGGGAAGACCAAAGATCTACCTATTGGCCATTGAGTTTGTGGTAAGACTCTTGGCTTCAAAATACTTTCAGTTAAATCAGCCAATTTCAAAGCATCCTCCTTGTACAAGTTTCCATGTACAAAAGTTTCAATGTGCATCTGTCTTAATAGATGGGGGTAAAATTGTTGAATGTCGTCCACAGTAACATGTGGTAATTCGGCTAGATATTGCTCATTGATGTAACCTTTTTCGCTACTGAGCCATCTCATATAATCACCGACTTGATTGTAAGGTTGTTGAAAGTCCCAGTTCTTCAAACCTCTTGCCAATCTCTCCTTGATAATTTGGAATCGATCTTCTTTGACTTCAAGATCTCTCATGGTAGTCAAGACCTTCTCCAAAAGAACAGGGAGTTTATCATTGTATCCGGAAACGCTAATCTCCAAACCCATTGAATGACTTGATACAGAGTATTCGAGTCCTGCAAGCTCAGCATCATAGGCGTATTGCTCCAATGCATCATAAACCAAATCTGTATACATTCTTGCTTTGAGAGAATTTTCTGCAGTGGCCATCGGTAAAGGATTTCTACACTGGATGAAAAGATTTGCTTTTGGAACCCAGAAAGTATCATCTAAATAACGAATTAGCTATGAGGTTTTTGTATCAGAAGGGAAATTACTGACCTTTCTTGAACCATGTTCTTACAGAGTCATCATTTCTGATCAACTTGGGAGATATGGCGGGTATTTTAACCTCCTTCTTTTCGACCTCGAGTTTAGTTGGAATGAATTGATTTACATGGGGTAAATGTAATTCTGGGAAACGTTCTCCTTTCTTGCTCGTAGCAGCCTTTTTGATTTCTTCCAAGAAGTCCGCTGGAATTTTCTCATATTTGTATTCTGTACCATACCACTTCTCTTTTGAATCCCAACCACCTGGGAAAGTTTGAGAAGAGATTTGCATACGGAAGTTGTCAGCTCTCAAGCAATTGAGTCCAGCAGATATTTTTTCTCCATCAAACTTTCGTAGTCTGCTATGGCCACTGAGTAACCATTCTCGAGGTAATGGCGTCTGCATGACAGCACTGATTTTGCTAGTAAATCTGCTAGCTGGAGTCTTTTGCTTGAATTTGAAATCGACATCGGCTAAACCCTTTTGCTCGTCAAAAATCCATTCTTGTGGTGGGCTATCTTTGAGTAATGCGATATATTGGAAGAAAACCTTGACAACTTCCTTGTAGTTCTTGAGACCGTCTTCTGTCAGACGTATTTGACAACTGAACAAACTAGGAGTTCCAGGACATATTGCATAGACACCTAAAAAGAATTAGTATAAATTGGAGTTTTTGAACGGGACAAGATTTGCAAAAAAGAAACCTCTGAATTGAATCAAATAAAGTAAAACTTACCTGCACTTAAAGCATTTGCCCAGCCCTTAGACTTGATATAAGCCATAATACTACCTGGTCCTTCATGTCCAATAAGATGTGTCAAATATCGACTTGGTTGAGATTCGAAAAGAAGTTCCTCATCAATGAATGGAATGGTAAT